TAATAACGAAGCATGTAATTTTACCACATAGGATTCCGAAGCACCAGAAACAGCCACGTAAGCTCAGCGCGTTCTGTATTAATATATAGGGGATAATATGAGTAGCAAGTAAATATTTGTAATTTTATTGGAGGGAAAAGAATCCTACCAAATTAGTTTTTCTCTCAATTCTCTGGGATTTGAAGGGTAAGGAAGGGAATGTCATTTCTATTTTATTCTTTTGAACAAATTATAGGAAAAAATCGCTATCGGATATTATATATCATTGATATTACTAGTACAACGCCCGTGTATTACACGGGTGCTTGTTAATAATTTTTCCTTAAAATTTAAAATTAATGAGAAAAAGTAGGTGAAAATTTAAATATCTTTATATAAATATATATATTAGTATATATTTAGTATGACACTTTTTATTTGTGTGACTTACTTGTGTTATATTATAATAATTTATTTATTTATATATATAATATGGATGTCAAATCGAAGATCATGAAAAGATGATTAATTTGATATATTATATATGTAAAACCAATAAGAAATACAAAAGTTATCAACTTTTAAAATACATTTTTAATTCAATAGCTAATTGAAGTAAACAAATCAAAAGTCAGTGATATATTAGTCATTTAGTGTCTCACTATGTAAATTATAAAGAATTAAAAGGTTATATTAGTACAAGTGATATTAAAATACCTAAGTTAGCTAAATAATATTTATGGAATGTCCGAACTTAAATTATTAATTATTAATATATCAATATTATTTGTCCAAACCTAATTACGAAGCATGATTCTTCGCCAAGTAGGATTCCGAAGCACCAGAAGCAGCCACGTAGGCTCAGTGCATTCTGAAATTATATATAGGGGGATAATAGTCCGTCATATTTGTTTTCGGTCCCCTCTAATATTTTTTACCATGTAACGTGTACAAATATCTATGTATTACTCTTTCATAATAAAAGTTGCTACACGAGCAAATTATTTGCGAGCTTGGTTCATTCAAACTCGAGTTCCAACTCTTCCAAAGTCTGTATAATTAATAAGTCGAACTCGTTAATGCTTGACAATAAATTTCAGCTTGAGATCGACTCAATAACGAACGAAGCACGAATTAGTTTGTTGACCTGTTTTGTTAACAGTTCGGCTCGAGTTGATTAAGGCTCAAGCTTCATACTTGAACCCGGCTTGCCTCGTATTCACAGTCAAATCAATCAAGAAATGTTTCAATTTGCATCTCTTACTCACCATTTTTGTCATGCCCCCATAGAATTCTTCTCTCTCATCATCTCCCGAAATAAATATATAAACAACAACAAGTCAACAACCAACACTTTAGAGGTGTTGAAAAATGAGCTTTCATCATTTTTGGAAAAGTAAAAATGCATTATTGAGCTTCAAAACCTCAAAGGTTCTTGGCCAAAATTATGCAGTTTTCATTGTGTGAGAATGTGGAAAAATAATATGTTGTATTATTCACAAAAGTATGTACACATATATAAAGATATAAGATGGGCATTAACCTTATGTTGGTCATTAACCTAGCCTACAATACAACAATACTACTCTACAATATTATAAATAACATCATCCTTCAAATTCAAGGTATTATAATGGAGTCGACTTGAGTTTGCCAAAAAGCTAACAAGAGAGACCGGGAAGGAGACCCAAAATAAGTTGAACTATCTCATGCGCAACATATTATTGAATGAAGTGGCAGTTAATTTCAATGCTTGGTGCGCCCATGAAAAGATCATAATGAGATATCTTTATAGCACTATGACTATCACAATGTAGAGATGTAGATGACGACCAAGGTGCACCGAGATGATCAAGTAGCTGACCCAGCCACAATACATCTGACGTGGAATCAACAAGAGCACGGTACTCAGAATTAACATTCAATCTGGAAACCAAAGTTTGTTTCTTATTGCGCCAGGAGATGAGTGAATCGCCCAGAAAGAAGCAGAATTCAGTAGTGGAGTGATGATCAGTATGATCACCAGCCCAACCTTCATTAGAGTAGTCACTAAGTGCCAAGGAAGAACGAGCTGAGAAGTGAAAATCATGCAATAGAGTACCCTTCACATAGAGAATGATGTGCAATACAGCAGAATGATGAGTGGTTCTCGGAGCGCACATAAACTGACTCACAATATGAACAACATTAGCTATATCGGCCGAGTGACAGCCAAATAGATCAAAAACCCCAATAAGCTGACGATAAAATGTAGGATCCTAAAGAAGAGAACCATCAAGTAGAGTAAGGCGAACATCATAATCAAGAGGTGTGGAAGCTGTTTGACAATCAGTAAGACAGACCGAGCAATAAGATCAGAGGCATACTTGGCTTAAGACAAATCGAAGCCACAAGATTAGAGATCTCAAGACCCAAAAATTAGCAAAGTTGTCCTGAACTCTTTATCTCAAAATGCGTACAAAGATAACCCTGTAAATCATAAATACCAGAGACATCATCTCCCGTGATGATCATATCGCCAACATAGAGCAACAAAACAATGCTTCATGAGATCGTCGAAGAAACAAGGCAAAATTGTGATCACTCTTAGTGAAACCAAATTGAAACTATTCAGAACTAGCCGTGGCATTCCAAGCACGAGGCGCTTGTTTCAAACCATTCAAAGCTCGAATGAGACGACAAACCTTCCCAGACTTTAAGGCCCCGGAGAAGGAGTAATGTAAACCTCCTTTAGATAAGACACCATGTAAGAATGCATTCTTTACATCTTAGTGAAGAAGAGACCATCGACGAACAACAACAACGTCAAATAAACAGTGGACAATAGTAAGACGAGCAACCGGTAAAAGGACTCTTTATAATCTATGTCATACTCCTGTGAGTAACCCTTACCAACCATAAGTGTTGTAATGTTCAATAGATCCATCTGAATTTATCTTGATTTATAAATTTATTTGCACCCAATGGGTGTCTTGTCAGTAGGTAGTTCTACAAATCCTAAGTATGAGTCTTTTCTAACGCATGCAATTCCTCAATCATAGCTTGTTACCACAATGGATCAACATTTGCCTCACGAAATGACCTACGCTCATGATGGGATAGTATAAACGAATAACAATGAGTCAAGTAGGTGAGCAGGGGGGCGACTTACAAGAGTTGGGTGTTAGTGATCAATGATAGATGAAGGGACATGAGCGGACACAAAAAGAAGCGTCGGTTCAGGATGCGCAGGTGGAGCCACTTTGGGAGACGGAGGTAAGATAGGTTGTCATTAAGCTGTGAGCCAGTGGAAGTGTCTGGAAAGAGACTCGGAGTAATGGACATTAAAAATAGCATGACAAATCAAATGGACAGTGAAATTTAGATAATGAAGAAAATATAGTATGTTTTCAAAAAGTAATGTGACGCAAAATGTGCAATCGACTAGAAATAAGATCCAACACCTAAACCCTTTGTATTCTACCCCATAACCCAAAAAACAACACAGACAAGCTCAGGGTTCTAAGAATGTGACGTTGTTTACGCTCAAAACGTCTATATCGTGGGGAAGTATAAGACATAAACGCTGAACTATTGTGCCATGATCAAAAAGAAAATTAAAAAAATAGAATCATTGTACTCAAGGGCATTGTCAATACGCAAGACCTTTATAGAATAGGAGAATGGTGTGTGAATTTTTAGCATATTGAATATATATGTTTAGTAATTCAGAATGACTTTTGAGAAAATAAATCCAAGTAAAACGAGAAAAATCATCAACAAAAATAACAAAGTAGGAAAAATCATTCATAGAGGCAATATGGTAAGGAACCCAAATATCATAATGTACCAAAACGAAAGGTTTCTCAGCAGTTGACAAATTTTCAGAATAGCTGGGATGGTGAGAGTCGACGGTGGCTGGAGACGAGCAAGGAAAAACCTAATCTATATTGGCCCCCAACCCAACCCTAGTATGATACCATGTGAGAATGTGAGAAAGTTATATGTTGTATTATTCACAAAGGTATGTGCATATATATAGACATGTAAGATGAACCTTAACCTTATGTTAAGCTTTAACCTAGCCTGCAACACAAAAATACAACTATATAATATTATAATTAACTCCTTGAACAATCAATATCATGCTATTTGGTTCATTCAAATATAAGAGAGGGAGAATGGCATGGCAACAGTAAATTGTCATAGCTTCATATTGGTATCATCATTTTAAACTACGGATTCGACAAAACTCGTCTCTGTACATATATATAATTTTAAAGCAGTATGCCAAGGCAAATACAATGGACCCTATAACACAATATATGCCTGTTTTCCAAAACCAAAAGATCAGTACATAAAAGTACATAAAATAAACTGTTAGTCACCCAATTAAAAAACAAAAACAAAACAAAAAAAAAAAAAAATGCCTCTCGAGCCCTCGTGAGTCGCCAGTTTTAGCTAGAAAGAGGAATGGAGTAATAATACATGGAAACACTGACTTAATTTATACAGAGAGAGGGCAAATGCCAGCCTCTTATTTAGGTCGTCGATACATTATGTCATCAAAGCCTTGTTTTATTTGATTCCCTACTTTACAGATGTTCTTGGCCACCCCATTTGCAACCAGGTTTGCATTTCGAGTGAACCTGAATTTTACAACCGAGAAAGGTTAATGTTGGTAAAAGTTTACAGTTTAAGACAGACGGATGTTACCAACGATACCTGAGGGAAAGTTGCTTGATGTTAAAATTAAGTACTAAAAAGTCAGAGGCTTAAGCTTGCATTCATATTTTTGGTTGGAAAAAGCAATATTTTTCAGTTTATGTTCAGCTAGTTAACGGGTATTTGAACTATTAAAGACTTTTTGCACAGAATAGATTGAAAATCATCCAAGTAATGTTTGATGCATAATTCCACACTAAACTGCAATAAGGTAATGAGATGCCACCAACTACATTCAAACCCAGTTGACATTCTAACTCAGCCATGACATGTATATAGTTGCAGGATGGGAAATAAAAGAGTTTGCCTGCTAAAAAACTCTTCCCCAATTGCATTAGTAGGTTTAGGTGTCCGCCTCTGAGGCAAGTCATTGCCATCTGTAAGAAGCAAAAAATAATATTTTCTTAATTGCTACATATCAACCACTAAACTGCAAGCAGCGTCTGTAGACCTTAAGCATACACATGATATTAGTATTACATAGGATGTCATCGGCTTTATGATATCATGCAAAATATACTCTTGCATTAACATGCAAGATTCTCCAAAGGAGCAAGCTATGAAAGCAGAAATGGCTGCTTATGATTTAAATGATTTTTAATCAAAAATAATGAAAGAAAGAAAATGGAAGACTCGATCCATTCAAACCCATTTCAAATATATACATGTAGTTATGACATCAGGAAGCTCAAAAATGTTATAAAAACTTCAACTTTCCTGTGAACTCGTTAGCATAAATAAAACATCATCTTTGTACTGTCCTCTGAAAAATCTAACTTTTTCTCAGAAAATTAAATAACGAACTCGAACTCATTACTGATAATTTCAAAATAACAAAATCATGTGCAACAGTCAATATACCATAATATTTAGTCACAAGACTACAGCTCATATTTCAGTAATTAAGCCCTTAATGCAGCTTGAGAAGAACATTCCAATAATAGTTAACATAAAGTAGAACATTTTTTTACCTCCTTTATTGTGAACATGGGCTGGATTGGGTGCAGCTTCAGCGGAAGGGTTTACTCTCCTGTCCACTAAAACCTGCTCAGAAGCCGAATTAGGTTAGCATTAGTCTATGCAAGTAAAAGGCCACATCAACCAGAGCAAAAAAAAACAGCTAACGAGGAGTGGTAATGATTGGTTGTTTAGGAATTATAGGATTGTAGAAAGTTTAGAGGTTTGGACCAAACTTCAGGGTTGACCTGTCAAATAATTACCCTTAGTTAAACTATTTGGTAATAGATGTTTAAATTCTCTTTATTAATAAAAACGCTAACTCCGAAAAGTTGAATAGAGGTTATTAGTAGGCGCATCTATGATATACAAAGAGATTACGGGACTATTCACTAGTTAAAAACAGCACAATAATTATTACTATAACTAGAAATATAACTAGTACTCAATCATGTGCACATACACAAATACAAAGTATATATTATAAATTATATATATTAGAATAATAAATTAGATAATGGGCATATCACATTTTAGAATTTTGACAATTGGTAAAATTGAACAATATAAATATAAACTACTTAAGTTACATATGACAATTGACGTCATAAATGTAATGGATATGTAATTATTGTAATTTTAAAGGATCATTGCGAATTATTAATAATAATAATAATAATCATAATGATCAAAATTGTTTATGTAATTTTAAAGTGTTTGGTTCAATTATCTAATTTTAATGAAAAGTGATGAATGGGATGAAAAAAAAAATAGTATTGGTTTTAAAATAAGTAGCTTGAGGAAAAAAAATCTGCAATAATTTTTCTTTAAAGTATGTAACTTTCATATACTATTTAGGGTGAACGTCTCATTAGCTGGTGTTAGTAGTAACTATTATATAATAGAATGGTTAGAAAAATATTTACACTTTATTAATGTAAAATTTAACGGTTTGCTTTCATAATTTCATAATTAACTAACAAGCAATGGACGGGAAATATTTTCTATTGGCATTAGTGGAATAGCCCACCTTATATATATATATATATAATATATATAGATTATCATATAAGATTTCATAGCAGATAACCATAAGATTTACAGTTCAAGATTATTAGGAAGAAAAGTCAATTATAGAGGCCCCATAAGATTTGTTTTGTTTTAGTAAAGATTCCGGTTACACAAATATATCTCAAGTTTGGTCTAGCAAAGTTTATTCGTTTGTCTATGTGCAGTAAAAAAAAATGATATAAAGAATAATCACTATGGGACAATCTAATGGTATCCCCCTTCAAATTAACAAGTTATTGTCAATGAAGCAATGGCCCCAAAGAAGGGTCTTGCAAAAATCCAATTCCAATTGAATTATTAGAAATAAAAAGATCAACAAACAATAAATTATATTAGAAAATTAATCATTAATAAGCTAATAAATAATCAAATATGATATTTGATAATCATAAAATTTGGTGATCTTCGGAATATTAATAGAATATTGAAGTATTATATATCTGAGAGTATAAAAAAAGGACAAAAATATATTAAAAATTATTACATATGTATATTAATACGTATTATTTGTAGAAAATGAGAGATATGATTATGAGACTTATGTCCTAATGATACTAAAGTTTGTATTGTTCCTGAAAATTACATTCACCATTAATTTACATATGAAAAAAATATAAATTGTTTACACCCACCGACTAGTAACCTTTACCTATTTCCAAATAATTAAATTTGATAGATCTGCAAATTAGCAACTCAAGAAATTTGTATATTTTAATTTTGAGGTGATAATGGTTCTTTTTCATCTTGTCTTAATTATTCAATAATATTCCCACAGTCCCATCCAAACTATATCATCAATAGAAAGATGCCAAACAGCAAATCACATCAATGGTATTTTACACAATCAAGCAATTATCGGTTATTTATTAAACATTTCAGGTAGTCAAGCCAACTGATTGTTAGAAAACACCATTATGTTCCATATCACCACCAAGAAAGGGGAAAATTACTGCTCCCATTTTCTTGAATAAGGAGATAAAAGGTCACATAGGTATAAATCATAACGTGCAAATGATGCAACATAACTAAACCCAACCACCCAACCACAATAACAGAGAACAGTTTAAGGCACTAACCTCAAGGCCTAAGCAGACAGGTAATTCTGCTTGAGGCTGTTGCCCACTGGGTGCCTGGCCTTTATGATCCTTATAAAGTGAATAACCAACGCAAGCATATCTGAACTCTACAAGGTTCCTGCCCTCTTTCGATGCTTCAACCTCAGATTGTCCAACAATGTATGGAGGCACTAATCACCAAACATAAGAATTATAATCCACATCTAATATTACCCTAGTGGGTGCAACTTTCATAACTCAGCCTCATAAGAACAAGAACAGAACATCAATCACGAAGTACTGTGTGTGCATAGGGACATACAACTCAATCGCAATGCATTGATCGTACATAGTTTTTATAATAATTATATGCTCCATTTGTTTTATGCATTTATGATATCAAAACCAAAGCTTTCAGATAATAGTCTAAAAAAAAAAAACAAATTATCGCCTCCAAGCATTTCACTATTCGTCCTTTAAATTTAAGTAAACCGTCCAAAGATCAAAACTTTGTCCGAATGACAATTTGCATATGCATATAATTTATTGAACCCAATTTGAGCTCTCCATGTTTAACAAGAAAACGATGACCAAAGGCCAAGCAAGAAATTAATAAGTAGGTTAGGTACCTATATGAAATTCAAGAATAGGGTACCTCCTAACTTCTTAATTTTGTTTAAATTGCACCAAAAAAAGGCGAATATTACATCACAAGCTCAAAGTTGCAACCTTTTTCTCTGTAGATGAAACTTCAAGCTACATGGAAACACAACATCCAGGCCAGACAATATATACAAATGAAAAAGAGAAAGAAAATGAATGAAAAATCATAGCAATTACGAATCCAATTGCGTATTAAATGCAAAAAAAAAAGAAAACAAAACAAAATTGAACGAGAAAATTAGGGCTACCATTGGGAAGGGAACGGGTGAGGCCAACGCAGAGGGGGTTCCGAGAATCGTCTTTGAAACGCGAAGAATAATAAAGGCATCCCTTGCAAGATTTCGCCTTGTTCCCAATTCCATTACCAGTAGCTTCGGCGGTGTTCGTACTCTTCGTCGGTGACGAATGACACGCTCTTCGATCGCTTTGATTCAGCTGATTTGAATCGTCCGATTTCGTATTGATATCAGCCGGCACTGATTTGGTGCTTGGAGATTCAGCCATTCGCGAGCGTGAGATTAACTTCTCTCCTTCACCCTTTGCTATCTAGTCCGCCATTACCTATCTGTGGTTCGTCATCTCGTGTTCTCCGGTGAAGAGGAAGAAAGTGATTCAATTTTGTTTGAACTTTTTTAACTACGGTTATCTTATGTGTTGCGACTCCAAATTAGAAAGTAAAATATAGAGGAGAAGTAAAATATTTTCAAACTTAATTGAATACAAGTAAAAATATATATAATTATTGAATCTAATATGATATAAAAATAAAAAAATATTAACTGATAATAGTTAGTTGTTAGATCACAAATTATTGTATGAGACAACCTAATAGTTAGACGGGTCGTCTTGTCGTACGTTTCTAATGTCATTGATGGCACCGTTCGCCTCTTTTATGGCAGTCGGGGCTGGGGTCGACGCCTTTGTTCCCCGGTCAGTTTCCCTGGTGTTGACAAGGAGGGTTCCTCTGGCGGGGACTTTTGTTTTTCCAGTTGAGCTTGGTCGTGATTATGGGTTTTGTGTTAGGGGAGGTGATAGGCGCGACCTTCAGGTGTTGTTCCGATGGTGATCTCTTTGGAAGGAGGATTTGGATCGTGTGGTTGCAGATCTAGTTAGCCATAGCCATGTCCTATGCAATTTGGAGTTTCTAGATCCGCGACTCGGATCATGAACCTGTCTTTCTTGGGTGGTCGTCTTCGGGTGTTGGCTCGTGTGAATGACAATTTTGGAGCAACTTGACGGTTGTTGGGCAGGGCTTTATTTAGCATCTTGTTATCAGGGTCTTTCCTATTAAAGTGTGTTCTGTCTGTGATTGGCGTGTTCTGTAGTTTTATTCACCTCTTTAGGAGTTCGTATTTTCCACTGGTGGGAGTGTTGTAATATTGTGTGTTAGTGTTATTTGCTCTAGGCTACTTTCGTATAGTCCTTCCAATAGATTCAACTATGTAGTGCTTGATTCAACTATTATCGGTTCTAGATTGCAAATATGTGTGCTATTTAAATTATTGTTCCAACAAAAAAAACTACAATAAAACTTAACCAGATAATATATATCATATGAAAATGAATGATAGTAAAAGAAAGAATACTGAATCGCAATTGTTGTATGTGATATATCAACGCTTCAGGCATGGTCAACAGCTCAAGATTTGGTCAAAAGGGGGTTACATTGCTGTAATTATGTGTACTTATTGATTTTTCATGCGATGACATTTTAGTCACTGCACAGAATCACTGTAACGCAAATGTGCATTCTCATAGGCAATACGTGCATTTTCGTTTAACACTATTGTGCATTTTGTATCGCGGTTACGTTTTGTGAACTTTTAAATGTGTATACTGTGACAATTCTTTAATTTCATAAAAATATGATTGTATTTATAATGTGCATGTCTATAACAAAATAAAATGTCTAAAATAGTTGTTATTTACCAACAACTATTTATAAACCGTTAATACAATTCACTAATCAAATCAGCTATTATAATCGACAATTAGATATCATCTATCGGCTATTACTAGCCAAAATAGGCCTACGTCCAATCACTTCTTATTACCATATTCTTCCCATTTCTTTCTAGCATTCACCATAACCTCCAATTGACATCTAGCAAAGAAGCAAACCTACAATAAAGAATAGTCTGAAACTGTTGCTTTGTCATCGAGCCATCAATCAACAAGTTGAGCCGTCGTGTTCTAGACAGTATGCTCTTTCAAATTGGAAGATGTGTCGAGTTTTACACAAACAATTTTTGTTTTTAGTTTTAAATATAATTTTCTCACCAAGTACTCGTGTAGTAAACGGATATTGTGTAGTACTCGGATATTGTAACTACACGTATATTGTACTAGTTTGCATTTTGGAAAGCATCATAATAGCATTCTCTTTGCACCCAGGTAATACGAAGGTAAACATAACAAAACAGAACAATGTACTAAATAGACATTATCCAATATAAACGAGGCGGGTCGGGGCGGATCTATTTCGTCCCCGAACCCAGAGAAACAAAAAAATTGAATCGGGCTGAGTTTAAACCCACCCGCAGATTACGGGTCCGGGTCGAAATCCACCCTGTCGGTCTTCTCCTCTAACTCTAAACAAACTCTGCTAAAAGCACAAGTTTCTGTTAAAGACAACAAGTTCCAAGATCTCCACACCAAACCTAAGTACTACCCATTTGGGTTTATGTCTACTCCATGCTCTTCTATCAACAATAACACATTTAACAATATCTCAGAATCATATTAAAGTATACATAATATGAGCCTAGGCCTCGAATTAGCCTTTCATTAGCCACGAGATTCTTCGAGTGCTTTCATGCCCATCACCCTTAGAACTCGACCTGTTCGCCATTCTTCTTCACGCACATCACCTTCCCATCAGTATTATAAGCCCACCATCTTTTCTCACGAACCCCACAAATCGGCAGTCTGAGTAACCGGGCGCCACCGCTGGCCGCATGAGTAATAATAATACACGGATCAAATAACCACCAGTAATGTTTTGTACAAATCGTTTTCAGATTTTTACCCTACTATTCGTTCCCATGCATGTTTCCGTCAACATTTCAAAGGTACAACACATTGTACACCTAACGAGCTGCTCTTCGAAACTACTACTACTACTACTACTAAGAATAATAATAATAATAATAAAAACAACAATAATCCCTCGACC